GGGGGGGGGGCGTGAGGCGGAAGACCAATCAGGGTCTGATTGATTTTCATCGAAATCAACCACCTCCTCACTCCGACGAGCCAATAACGACCTCTTCTCCCCTTCCGTTCTTCCCTACTGACGCCATTCCATCATCCCACAAACTACCCTACAGACGAAAGCCTCACCTGAGCTCCCTGCGCTTGCGCCTGCGCCTGCATCTGCGCCGGCCCTCTAACTTTCCGTCTCCCCCTCGGCTGAACAGGCGGCAGAGTCTGCGATACCGACTCAGCGACACCCCTCTCCACACTCTTCTCCACCGTCGCGGGGGAGGGCGCATCGTCCCGTGCCGGAGTCGGGGGACTGGGAGAAACGGACGGGGTAGGCAGAACCGGTGCGGGGGTCAGTTCCGCCTGCGTCTCAAAAAGGAATGCCTTTCTGCGAGGCGCGGCGGGTTCGGGAGGAGGTGGTTCGACGATGGGGGCGGGAGCGACGGAGGTAGGCGGGGAGGCGAGCATTGAGCCGTGGAGCTGGTGCGCGACGTGCGACATGGCTTGCTCGAAGGCTTCCGAGTTGGGCTTGTACCCGCATTCTTCGAGGTACAATGAGTAGGCGGCCAGGCATGCGCTGCATTAGGCGGAAATCAGAACAAGGAACTGGGCTTCTCTCTTCCTTCAAACCCATCCATCCCAACCCCCACCCCTCAAACAAAAAACCACCGCACCTAATCTTCCCCTCCTCATCCGCCAAATCCATTCCCCTATTAACGCTAACATCCAGCCCCTCCCCCTCCGCCCCCTCATCCCCCATAGCAGCCTGGATGCGCTTCATCGCCAGAAGCGCATATGCGTTCTTCAAGTTCTCCGCAAGCCTACGAAGCTCCATCGCCTGCGCGGGCGTCACCGCAATCGACAGGTCCATGTCTCCGTCGTCGCCGGGGTCCGGGGCCGGGTCTGCCATGGCGGGTGGGTGGTGGTGGTGGTTGTGGTGCTGGAGAATCGAGACGGGGCGCCGGTCCCCCCGATGTGTGTGCGGTGAGATTGGTGGGTGGGGAATGGGACGGAGATTGCATGTGGTAAGATGGGGGGAGTGTGGAGGACCGAGGCAAAGTGAGGGGAGGGAGGGGGTCCTGAACGGACAATGAAACCGTGTCGATCTTTGATGCTTGGATGCGCGATTCGCGCGATCATCGAAGACTGGGAATTCCGTGGCGCAGCGGGGAGCGCGATCGGGACCCTGCGACCTGTGAGCATCAAACCTTGTCGGTGTCTGCCTTGGTCCCTGGGAAGGATCTGGAAGGAGGACACGCCGAGTGGGTCCTTGTGTCCTTGGCTATCCGTGTATAGCATCCGCACACGATTGATTGTAAGCTGGAGTCCGAGCGGTTGGCAGTGACCAAGTCAATCAGCGGCGGTTGGCTGACGCATCTCAACGCTCTTTGAGCTTGAGGTAGTATACTCACGGCAGAGATGAGCCCGGACGATCGTTTCTTGCATGCGCCGTATCAAAAAAATAAATTGAATCTCGCGGGGGAAGCGGCTGAAGCGTCGACGGTATCGCCGCAACTTGTTGACTGTCGGGAGGAGGTCGTTTGGGGGCGCTCCAAAATGGAGAACGAGAAACGCAGCGTAAAGAACCGACGATGGCCGTGGTCTGGAAGCCGATCTTCGAGGTCCACAAAGAACGTCCAAAGAGGAGACGGAGAGAAGTGGGGCCAGCAACGCACTACAACTGGTGATTCTTCAGCGCATCGGCTACATGCAAACAACATGATGGGAAGGTGTATAAAGCAAAATAAAAATCATCCCTCCCCGCCTCCCGCGCCCCCCCCCCTCCCTCCCTCCCGATCGAGCTTGAGAAGACGCTTGCAAACGGAACGATTTCACTGACTGAAAATGGCGGAGTTGAACGGGACCGACAGTCAGATTGCTGGGGTCAAAATACCGATCTATCCGTCACTGCCTCACCACCCGAAACTTACCCACCGCCTCACTTGCCCTGCGCAGCATTTCTGTCTCCAGCGCTCTGAGCGCGTGCCGCGAAGCTGCCCGCGCCGAAGTCGCGGCCGGCGGTCGCCTGCGTCGACTGAATGTGGGAGGAGTCGCTTTTGGTCATGGGGTGGAAGCCCCCGCCGCTGCCGCCAGAATGACTGCCGCCTTTGGTCATCTTTACGGGTTCGAAGTTTGAGTGATTGTGTGTGGGGGTGGTCGAGATGGTTTGTTCGAGTGGGAGGAACGAAGGTGGGAGGCGTACTCCGTGGACTCCTTGTACTTCGCTGCCGCCCCGCGGCCCCTCAAACTGATCCCGGAACTGTCCATTGACTATCCATCAGCCGTCCGCCACAAATGACGTTCCTTCATCATCGCCATGTCCGCTCGCGCACCTTCGACTGAGCTTGAATTCTTCCCCGCGGCCCAAACTTCCCGTTTTTTCATCGACGTCGGATGCAATCGATTCTTCAGGTCCTCTCCTCCCAACAAGTTGGTCCGGGGAGGTCCTTCCGGTTCATCGCTCTTCCGGTAACGGTCTGCAAGGCCACCTCCTTTGGGCTACACTACCACCACCCTCCGACAGACCTCCACTCAACACCCCCGCCTTGACCAACGAACACCAAGCTGCTGAGGGACTCGAACCCCCTACCCCCGCGTAGATACGGACGTGTTCCCCTTACACCAAGCAGCCACAGGCCTCAACCCATGAACGAACCCCGCAGAACACCGCCACGCTAGCAAAGATGCAGCAGTCAACCAAGGCTGACCCCTCCACCCCCACCAACCCCCAACGATGCGATACGAACCCCGCCACATCAACCAACGGGCAGTCCTCCCCGCCAAGCCATGGTCCACAGGCAGCCACCTCAAGCAGCCACCAGCCCACAACCCCGCGATTCAAACCTGCCAACGGCCACCGTCCCCAGCCAGGCGAACCCAACCAAGACCCAGCAGCAGTGATCCCCACCACGAACCCCAACGAAGCACCACCCCTACCCAACGCCCACCGACCACCCTCACGAGCAGCCAGTATGCGACAACATGTTGCCGTTGAGTACGAACAGCCACCCCACCAAGACCCGCAGCACCAATCACTATCCAACACACCACCCAGCACCGCCCCTACTTCTGAGGCAACGGCAAAGCATGGCCATCCTCCCTCCCAGAGAAGCCCCCACACGCATCACGACCACCCCGGTTTGATGACCGAAGCACGCAGCCCTCATCGTGATCTTCACGCCCCACCCCACCACGGATGCGACGCTGGCCATCCCAAACGTGTAAGCAAACCCCCTGAACCGAGAAGGCACCGCGGTCAACACCCATGCCCAGCACCCCTCCGAAGAGCAGCACAGAACACGAACGAAGCCACAGCACAACAATCAGTCATCCCCCCGCCCCTGTGTCTGCAGGATCCCACGCGGTAAGACTCGCCGAAGCTAGGATCCCGAAGGACCACTCCACCCCACCTCACGATGCGATGGCAGCAACACTTGATCTGCAACGTAGATCCACCCGACTGCAGACCTCTCGGCCATCCCTTGCA